CTACCACTCCTCTTCCCTTTCAGCTTTCATACATTCACTGCCCTCTTCTACATCCCAGTGTAGTAGCAACCTCCACCATCCCACAGCACTGCACCATACACAGGAAATACTGTAGATCTTATTGAGGTTTCCAGCATATCAGACATGAGCACTAAACCATAGAAAGCAAATTTCTATTTGAAGTTTCTGAAGTTGTTATCTGAGAACAGCATCAAGCAAAACAAGAATTTCCAAGTCACTCTCTATAAGATGCACTTTAAACCTGAATTTCATAGGGGTTTTTTTTAACCTTTTATGTCCCCAGTCCAACTGATATTTCAAAGCTGAACTATTAGCTACACAACATTAATACAGTCTTCCATATCTGCACAAGGCATTTACTGTGCGTCAGTATTCCATTAGCAGAGATAAAAGTTTTATAAACTGCTGTCCACGGAGGGTACAATGAATATTTTATCTAGTGCCATCACACAGGTAAAATAGTATCTAAAATCCAACTCATCACAGTAACCATCATAACTGAAATAACAAATGTGAATGAATATGTGTATGAAAGGTGAATGCATCTGTGTGATAGATGCTGCTGCTGTTAGAAGAAGAAATATTGCACACGGTTCTTGTATAAAGGTGAACCACAGGATAATTTAAGAATACTGCATGCATTTAGAAGAAAATGTTATATCACTTTCTAAAAAAAATGGACTAGACTAATACATACATTATTCCATGAGCTTTTTTTCACAGCCTTAAAAATTAATATATATAATAAATGAGTCCACCCAAAGCTTGTTGTATTGAAGCTTTAAATTTATTTTGCAGCTAGGTGACAAACTCACAGTATACTAAAAAATCATCTACAGTTTAATCAGAATTTGTGAGTCAAATAGCGCTCTCATGGGAACAGGACCACAAGACAACAGCCTACGGAAGACCCCATCTTGCCAGAACTTGCTTCCTGTGTGTCATTAGTGTGTAATTTTCCATTCTTTATGTCAGAATATAATTAAATCCTCAACTCAAAAATTTTGAAACAACAGTATTATTTTTTTATTTTTAAAATCCTATTTGCAACTTCAAAAGTGACAGAGAAAATAGTCTGCTATAAGAGAAAGCAGTGATGCACCCTCAATTCTGCAGATGAATGACTCTGGTGCCTTTGCTGCTGCTAACAGCTTTTTGAGGAAGCCTTGTTTTGCTCCTGAAAAAATCAACAGGAATACAACAAGCCAACTCCCAAACACGGACATGTGTTTGTAGGGTGGGAAGTCTTACATTTCCTTTCTCGTCCACTATTCATGGAAAAAAGACAGACACACATGCCGATTGTCCACTAAGCCGAAATTCATATAAAAGGTGCAGCACCCTGCAGCCACCAAAATCGTCTAAGGATTGCTTTTTTCTACCCTTCTAGCACTGGTTTTGGCTACTTTTCATCACTGTTTCCTTTGATGCTCATGAGGAGGGTCATAAGTTTTCATAGCTACTGCCCACAGTAACATGACATGTGATCAACCCCAGCAGCATGAAATCACAGATCCAGGAGAGAACTGAAAGGAAAAGTGGAGAATTCTCTAAATAGTGAAACAAATCAAGCAAAAGCCAAGCCAGTCCTACTAAGCTAAAATCTTATCAGGAACATATTTATACTTAGCAATACCCTATCGGAAGCCCATATCTAAGCAGTTCAGCACACATTCTGCAGTAGAGAAGTTATGCCAGCTTTAAGCCCCTTGCGCACCTTTTCAATTCCTGGTCTTAGTCTATAGCACAAGACTTAAAAACATACAACCAAAACCAAACCAAAGCCCCTCCCTTAAGCAGCCTCACCACTGCAGCCTGCGGCAAACATTAGTGCCAATATTACATCCTCTGTCCTCAACCCTCTCTCTAGTATTTTCTTTCTGCCTCTGTGCTGTCTTCTCTTCTGTACTGCTCACCCCTGGGGACCTTAGGATTTTAGGACTTTTCTTCAGCTGTGGCCCAAACAGAGCCAGGACACTGGCCCTGCCCATGACTGTCTGTTTCATTGCTAACACACCTCCTGGTCCACACAGCCTAGCCCTCTCCCACGTGGTGCCTGGGCATGGCTCAGCAAGTAACCCAGCACACAGGCTGTTCCCAATAGGCAAGGGGGAAGGGGGGAGCCTGCAGAGGAAGGGCAGGACAGAGGTTTTTGCCATGCGAGTTGAGCTATGCCTCTTATCCTCAGGAAAAAGAAAGGGGCCCTAGTGCTGTTACATTCAGAAATATTGACATAGCCCTTTATATCTATCCCCACTCTTACCTGCTGTAAAAAAATAGGTTATTACTCTAGAACACTATAATGCCCTGCTGAAAACTGCATTTCTGCTTGAAAAATGGAGTGAAAACAAACACAAACAACTCTGGCCACATAAGTATACCGAGCCGGCTCACTTTATTTCACTGCAAAAAATACACTGAACATGACTATCTTGCATATTTAGTAAATGATGCAACTATAATGGCCCTAAAAGCTCAATGCTCCGTCAGTAAAGGCTATAGAAATCTCTCTACATAACCCACTCATTCTAGATTTGCATGGAGCAGAAGCCTA